CAACGCTGTATAAGCCGAAATTTGGAATTCATTGCAAAACGTATTTAAGGAAAGATTGCCAGGAAAATGGGTAGATACTGGGAACATTAAGAAAGTCACTCGTCTTAAGTCGTTAATTATTGATTTGTTACTATTTAATAATACATAGGGGCTTTCCCTCTCTGAACTGTGTTAAACAGACTAGGAGATTTACGAGATAAACGAAATATAATTATTTCGTCGAAAATTCAAAATTGAAAGACGATAGAGAAAACCAGATTTGCCGATATCTCTAAGACGGTGAGTGCCACCGAACAAGTGAGGGGGCAGACATGCTATTTACACTCGTACCAAATACTATAAATTCCTCCGAAAGATGTGCAGTGAATCAAGAGAAATTCTATTTGAATTTCTTTTTGGAAAGAAAAGCTTGCATTTTGTTTGCAGTTTACCCTGCGTTTTATTATTATTATTATTATTATTATTATTATTATTATTATTATTATTATTATTATTATTTATTATTTTTTATTATTATTATAATTTTTTTATTGGCTGATCATGAGAATGACTTTATTGGCTTTCCAAAATTATAGTTTCCTTTAAACCAAATACCTACAATATGTGAATTTCGTTTTTCGAAAATCGAACAGATAATTTCACTCGTTGCTGCAGCCTGTTACTTTTTTTAGAGGTTCTAACTCCCTCATTAAACGCTCTCAACCAAGAATGAGGAAGTTTTCAAAATTTGATATTTTGGTTGAAGGAACACTAAATGATTAAATGTTTTCTTATATGGACCAATATTCTATTTGTAATTTAAATACTGCGATTGCGATGTTTGCCAAATGCGAGAAAATAGTTCAAAATTGTAAGTTAAAGATTTTTTTGTGTATTATGTAGACAGATAATAATGTTATTTTTGTATTCATAAATCAATGAATTAAACCTACTCTATACCTAGGTTTATTTTATTTCACATTATGTAGAAAGTGTCATAAAAATCAAATGTGTTTACCAAACAGACCCAGAATCCGTAAAACGTTTTTGCTAACCGACACTTTTTTCTTTTAATCCAACACTTCACATAAAAAGTTTTTAGTCTATTATATTGCACGATGAATTCCAAAATTTTTATTTCAGGATATTTTCTTGTTTAATTTATTTACTTCATTATATTTGGATTTCTTAGAAAAAATTGAGGATAGAGGAATATGTTGAAATGCCTATCACCTGATTTCAGGAATCAGTGTATTACTGGAGGTGTACACGTGATAAAAAGAAATCCAAATAAGATATACAATATTTTCTCTTCATTCAAAATAATGTTTGAATAATAATAATTACTATTTCTTCTATAAATACTACTGTTGACTATTTCTAAATATTTAAAAACTCTCAATTCATTTAGTCATTTCGTTCTTTGTGAAACATTCCTTAAGAAAGGTTTTTAAGCGATGAATTAAAATTATTCTACAGAATCATTTACGTTTCAATCTACTCAACAGACTCATCCTCCTGGTAGACGAAGCTTAGGAGCCTTTAATAAAAAATCGTTTCTAACGATGTAATATGTAATATCACACAGACCAGAATAATGTCTTTAGGGGTGCTAAAGTTCACCAAACTTTGGATTCTCTAATAATACTAAAATACTGAACGCATGAATTCAAAATTGAAAAAGCAAAAGCTATATTTTTTCAAATTGAAAAGTTAATATAAAATCGTTGTAAATGAACATTATATTTTGTTGAAAATGATTGAACTCCTAGCGTGCAATGATCGTAAGCACGTGCTCAGTCTTAAACATCATTGCGATCACATGACTACCGAATATATTTTAAGTAGAATTAGGATTTCAACATTACTCAAGACCTTCTTTTAGACTTCAAAAATAACACAATAGTCAAAAAGTTATTTTCCCTTTTAAAAAAATAAAATAAATTTTTCGTAAATTAAAATTCATTTAAGAAATGTATTTCTAGTTTGTAGATAATATTTCCTTCTCTAATTTATTTTACATTAAAATTTATAAAGTCATATCACAAACGTTTTTTTCCATTTTTAGTTGAAATTTTGGTCAATTATTTGTTGAAGTATATAATGTTTATCCGAGATTAATGTTATTGCATTTATTTACTTTTTCACGTCATTTTTTGGCCCTAATATTCAACTGAAGATATGAAATTATTTTTACGTGTATTTCTGAGATATGGGAACGACACATTTCTTTGAAAGAGATTGCGACTTCATAATGCACTCCGCAATGACAAATGACGGAGACACCGTCTCTTACAGAGGCGAGATTCAGGTGGTCATCGAGACTCGATGTGCAACAGTGTTATTTCAAAGCTGTTGGAAGAAAATATACGATATTTAGCACACGCTCGGCAATCGGAATAGGTGGAATAGGTACACATCGGTAGAAGACTATAACGCACGGAACCATGGATTTGGGAAAGTCTTTTCAATAAGGAGAGGGAGACGAAACACAGTGTCCTTTCCTTTCTCCAGAGTAAACGTTGCACCGTCACTTGCTCATCGAAACCTTATTGTATTTTATGGTCTCTGTCATTGTGTTCTGGAGTATTGTGGTCAGTTGGTATATATTGATGTATATGAAATCATTTTGAAACCAAACAGCTTCCAAAGGGCGCTCTCTCCGGTGTCTGGTGACTCCAAGGTATTACATCACGCATGTGAATNNCTTTCGTTTGTGCGATGTCACGGCAAGGGTTCAGCTAGAGATGAATAACAATCTCTTCCATTCTCCACCCGCTTCAATCGGACGAGGACAACCGATGGGGCAAGGGCGGGCACACCGCCGGGGACAACAGCTGGGGCCGCGGGAGGGGGCGGGGCGAGGAGGAGCCACGCGGTGGGCGGTCGGCGCCGCGGCTGGTCTGGGCGTCACGTGCTTGCAATTGCCCGTGAAAGCGAATTAGTTCGAGCAGTTTAAGGTTTTAGGCGCTGGCTGTGGGATCGGCGCGGGTCCGCCGCCAAGAGCCCTCGTCGCCCAGCGCCGAACCGCGCTGCTGCGGGGGCGAACGCCATGAGTCACCCCGTGGAAGCGGCGCTCGCGTCACTGAAGCGGAGAGGTGAGGACGAGGCTTCCGTATTCGTACGGCAATTACATATATCCTCCCGAAAATTCGAACTGTCAACTGTGAAGTATCGAATGTCAAAAATCAGTGTATATATACGGAGTCTCGATTAATTGATAAATACTTCAATTAATCAATAAAATCACCCACGTTCGTAGATCGAAATATTTGAAATATGGGACGAGAGGGGAGGTTATGCTGAAGGTTAGTGAGGTTAACAAGAAGTTTGGCGGAAACTAACAGCAGCACGTTTCATCCATTTCATACGGTATTTCCTACTTATGTTTCAATTATGTCTTCGGTACTCATCTATCTTGGTATTACGCTTTTTATTTGTGGAATATATCTTTGTTTAAACATTTTTACTCGTCTCGTAGTATTTAGTCATAACAAAGAAAAAAATTTAACCTTTTTTAAAATTATTTCATCCGATATGCCCTTCATCTTTCCTAAAACGGAGCGTGACTTTT